CAAAAGAATCCCTCGAAGCTGAGAAGGAGAGCTGAGACTTATAAACAAAGAAGTTTCTCTGATTAAGTTACTTTCCAAAGTAGTGGGGCTGTTTGAGAAGGAGCTTGGGTTTTCCTCCTGAAAACATGTTTCTTGGCTTTCCTCTGGGGCAGGGATGAAGTCAGTTAAGTGTTTGTGGCATTTGGTATGAAGCTGGGGGTGAATAACCTGAATTTTTGAGGTGGGAGAAAATCTATATAACAAATTTCTATAATATATATGTAGTCAGATGTTGTGAAAATATATACTTTTTTCCCCTTCCCAAGGAGAAGGTTTAATGAATACACAGATTAAAGTTTTAGGAAAGAATCTTAGCAACTTTCCAACTTGCCTAAGGATAGCGGCTCCTTTCAAACGGTACATCCAAAGACTGCTTTCCACGTTAGAGAGGAAAAAAGAAAAGAAGGGTAGTTAGAGTCCAAAAGGTTAAGGGTTTAGAGGTCAGTCCTCCCGGCTGAAATACAGCTAATCGAATAGAAAATTTGTCCTCTGGATGAACCTGATTCTGTAATTTACCCGAACTTCAGTAAAATACCTTTTCAGCTTCTCTACGTGAGGGCGTCAGAAAAAAGACGTCTTGACTATGTATGAACTCTGTGCTTTTTGTCATAGAAACAATGATGTGAATAATGCAGGAATATCCATCTTTAATATCTCGACGTGGTGATATTCAAGTATTGCCATGTGCAAGTCTGAGAGCCAGGCTCACCCCAAGGAGGAACAAAGAGCAGTCCCTAGGGTCTAATACAAAAGACCAAGGCTTGGAAGACACTTTAGAGAAGCGGAATTTCAGCCTAGGGACTGCAGTGAATACCTGCCCTCAGTTCTCAGGAGACACAGCCAAAGAACACGCCTACAGAGAAACTCTTTTTTCCCTCCCACTTAAATGTATTTTTTAAATTACCACAGAAACCTTCTAAAGTGTTTTTGAAGCACTGAAAAAATATCCCCTTTCTGGATCTTAAAATTAAGTTTTAAGCTTACCCTTTCTCCCTCTTTCACTTTGGTCACTTTTTGATAGCTACAACCCTTTTTTCCAAGCCTGAGGCCTTGGGAAGACTTGTTTCATCTAAGTATATGAACTCTGGTCATTACCTTTGACTTTTTCCTCCTTATGCTTAAGGGTCAGCATTTTAGAAAAATGAACTTTGAACCCTTCCCGGGCGAGACAGAAGAAAAATGACTAAAGAACATCTCTCCTGTTGAGAATGATTCTTTTAAAAAAGCACTATTCTCAAGGCAAAGATGAGTGCTTGAAAACTTTTATACTTTTACATATTCCGCTTCTAATTAATGGGCTGAGGAAATCTTCCTTAGATTTGGTTTTTTAAAAAATTAAAACTTCAGGAGAAAAAACCTCTAAGGCTAACTTTTGTGGATGTCTAGATTCAATTAGGTTTATTTTTCTTTCTTTCTTAAAGCAAGAGTTCCTCACCTTCCCACTTTCTCCCCACCACACAGCTCTTCCCCTACACAGGCCATACACCAGTTCCTGTAAAACACTGCTACGTGGGGATATTCAGGGCATTTGAAATCCAGTTGGATCAGAAAATTCAGTCATTATCTAACGACCCAGTGCATAGAGGTTTTGTTTTCTTTCCCCAGAAGGAAAATGTTGGACCATTTGTTGCTTTTTTCCCCTTTCCTTTAATCACCCAGAACTGTTGGTAAGCACAGTGCTGAAAAAAGCACATGTGGAAATATATTTTCAGGAACTCAACTTTGAGTGGATCCTTTGCTTCCTTCTGGAAGGGTTAAGGGCCCCTACACACACTTCCAGAGAGCGAGGGTGAAGGGTGGGGGTGGGGTTCAGAAGTAAGTGCACATATCTTTCATTCTGCTCCCTGAAGTTCAGCCCCTTTCACCATTTTAAGATTTTTGGCATGAAGGTGTCGGTTTTTTCTGTACCACATTTCCCAACAAATAAATATTTAAGCAAATATCTAAACATAAAATAACCCGTTTTCACTTCCTTCTTAGACCCATTTCTTTGGACACAGGGCCACTGGGAGCAAAATATATATTTTTTAATCACATGAAATTCCATAGACAATCCAGAAAGTTCAGAAATCCTGACCCAGCTCTCTGGCTTCCACTGAAAGCACCTAGCACAAGGGTGGCCAACCTTCTGCCTCAACTCCCCCACATTATTAAGCCACAAAGCTCCCTGGAGGGGTGGAGTGGGGGAGAAAGTCCAAATTCACAGTGGGATAAAGCACCCAACCTTCATTTGCAAATTCAAAATCCAAGAGTGGTGATTTTCATGAGTTTAATGACTCGCCAAGATTTTATGTTCTCAGTAGCTCCTGCCATATAATATACTTAGAGAGAGAATCCCGCCCCCCCCCCATACCCATCCCGCTCTAGGGAGGGGGCTGCCCTCGGGCAGGATGCTAACCTAGTCCGAGGGCGGCCTGCTAGTCCCAGGTCCACCCCACAGTACCTTAGAGCCCAGCAAGGTGACAGCAGGCCCGGCCTGCCCCCGCAGCTTCGGCTCAGCCTGGTGTGCAGGGAGAGATGGGCCCAGGGTCCCCACTTCTATAAGGTTGTCAGGTCCGTGTGATGGTCTTTGGCCATCGGCTGTAAATGCTGGCTGGGGGCGGTTGAGGAGGAACAAGACGAGGAAGAAGATGAGGACGATGACCTGCCTTTGGTGTTGGGCAGCTTATGATCTTTTTTCCACTTCATCCTCCGGTTCTGGAACCAGATCTTGATCTGGCGTTCCGACAGACACAGGGTGTGAGCGATTTCAATCCGACGGCGCCTTGTCAGATACCTGTTAAAATGAAATTCTTTTTCCAGTTCTAGGACTTGCTGCCTGGTGTAGGCCGTCCGGGACCGCTTGGGCTCCCCACCGGTGTAGTTGGGGTTCACTGCGAGACAAAACAGACAGGACAGCCAGGTCAGCGCCCGGCCACTAGTTAGGCCCCTCGCCTCCGACGCTCACTTCCTGGCGCGGACCTCCCCGCGTGCTCCCAACCTCACTTTGCTTCCTCCCTCCCACCCTCTCCCCGGCGCACCCGCTCACTCCCACCCACCTCCTCAAACACACCCACACACCCCAGGCTTGCAGGGCGGGATCCCCAAATGTGCTCTTTCTTCCAGGCCCACCATCTGGTCCGGAACAACCCAGCAAGCATTTTGGAAATCCCCTGCTCCTCCACAGCCTTCCCCCTGCTCTGAAAATGGAGTCCTCCCCCACCCCACCCCCATCCCCACCCCCTTTTGCGCCCACAGCGGAGCAGCCAGCCACATGGTCCTGGCCTGCTCCCTCAGCTATAAAAATTTATGGGGAGAGTAATTGCGGCGCCCATGGAAGCTCCACACGCCCACACCTACTCACACCCCCTTCCAGGGGACCCAGGCCAAAGGGCTGGGATGCCGGCAGAGAGGTTGCTAGACCAGAGTCTTACCCGAATTCACGTGCACCTTCTTCATCCAGGGGTAGACCACTGCCGGCTGCTTGAGTGCCGTCCCGGGGGGCGGCTGCTTGGGGTCAGACTGACTGCAGGCCCGGGCGCCAGACAGGGGCGCGGGCGGAGGCGCTGGGGGCGCTGGGCACGGCTCTCCCGGGGCGGCGTAGTGACCACCAGGGCCGCTTGGCTCTTGTCCGTGACCCCGCGCGGGCAACGCCGAGCCGGTCCCGGGGCCGCCGCCTCCGAAAGGCTGCTCACCGAATTCGGGCCGCGGGTAGAGCCCCGGGGGCTGGAAGTCTGCGCCTTGCGCGCCGCCGCCGTAGTAGTCGGCGCCCTGCTCGCCTAGGTAGCCACCCTGCAAATATTCCTCGCACGGAGGGAACTTGGGGTCCACATACTTGGAGTTCACCATATACGAACTCATGACCATTAATTTCAGAAGGTAGAAAATACTAATTTTTCTCGTGTTGTCTTTTTTTCTCCTTCCATAGGGCCCTCCTACTTGCTGTCAACTGAATAAAGTTGGGCGGCCATGTGACCAGGCCAGCCAATGGCAAGGGAGCAAGTTTATCACCGGGTTGGTGAGCATCTCATAATTTTTACAAATTTAACTAAATAACATACGTGTAATCAAGTGGCTTGCTGTGGCACATTTGAGAGCCCCAGCCAGATATTAATGTAGTTCCAGTTCCCAGCACCCCGTTCCCTCAGGTAATCCCAGCTTTTGTCTGTCACTGATTTTGCCAACCTTCCGTGCCCCGTTCCAATCACCCCCAGCTGAAAGCAACTACCCCCCCACAAGCCAAATAGACACAGCTCAAGGGAGAATGGATCTTCCTACTGGGGTGCAGAGCAATGAAAGGTGGGTGGGCGAAGTCGCCCATGAGTTGGGCAGAGTGCCCCAGGCGGGGAGGGTTCCTGCCTGCCTGCCCAGCCTGCGGCCGGCGGGAGCTGGGACTCTGCCATACAAAGGCTGCCGTCCTGGCTTTGTCTTCATCAGGGTCACCCGAAAGTTACCAGAATCTGGCCAGCTTGAATCAAATTAGGCAATGAGTAACCACCATGCTTTCTACCAGTGCCCAGGCCCGGGTGTTCCCAGCTGAAGCCAGGCCCTGCCGAAATGGCAAGAGGCCCTTATTGCCCTTGCCCATGTAGCTGGGGGTGGGCTGGGATGGTGGCGAGGGTAGCCTCAACTCGCTCAAATGCACCCCAGAGCTCCCCATTGGGCTTCTTTGAAGCTTGCTTTCTTCCCACAGGAGGGCCCCAAATACCAGCGAGCCCCATTAGAGTTCCTTTGCACCTCATGTCCCTGGAGGGCAGAGCTGGGACTGGGCAAGCTGGCCTTGCACCTCACTCCCTAGTACCACCAAACCTAGCCCTTTGGTCTTGCATCCGTGCAACCAATTAGGCTTTTCTTTTCTTTTCTTTTCTTTTCTTTTCTTTCCTTCTCTCTCTTTTTCTCTCTCTCTTTCTTTCCTTCTTTCTTTCTTTCTTTCTTTCTTTTTTTCTTCTTCTCTCTCTATCTTTCTCTCTCATCTTTCTTTCCTTTTCTTTTTCAGCACCCACAGGATCCTCTGTTTAAAGGTGAGGAGCTTCTGAAGAGGGAAATGCTGCTCTGTGTCACCAGGCACAGCTGATCCTCCTGGAGTCCAAGGTAATAAAACAAAAAGAGGCGGCTGGCCAGTGTCGGCTGCTTCTAGTCTCCACTTCGCACTTTGGTCTCTGGCTATTCCGAAGAAACGTGAAGTTTTTGCATCGACCATATATTCCCCTAGAATCGAATCTGTGACTATATGGATACCACACAAATTCGGTTCTACAGGGTATATATAGACAACGTTACAACCTCTGGGTCCCACCCAGAGTGAGGTGCCTAGGCCGCTGCCAGCCCCAGCCTCTTCCTCTGAGCCACCACCGCCTGACGCAGCCACCCGCACTTTCTGAAACAGTTCAGGTAGCCTGATGGGCTTGGCGACAATTTGAAGCAACGAGTTCACTCATTCTTTTGCCAGGGTCAGGGTTACCAAGCAGCCTAGCAACCAGAATATTCTTTTTAAGAAAGAAAGGGAAAAAAAAGAAATAAAAATAATCCATCCCAGGGATGGCGGCTTTATTACCCCCCTCTCAGGATCCAAATAACCCCCCCCTTATCAAGTGGTATTTTCCAGAAAGGAACAAATGCCCTCAGCGGCAGAAAGAAAAGAGGCAAGAGGAGAATATCCTCTGTCCACTGCTTTTCCTACTGCCTGACCAAGCCAGGTTGTCTGCCAAATCTACTCCAAGAAGTCGCGCATTTACCTTCATGGGCCCTGAGCCGGGCTGGTCTCTCCGTTCCGCGGCTGCTGCAGACCCCGAGGCAGGCGCTACTCACAGGCACCGAGCCGCCTTGGGCTGAGGCCGGCGCGCTAATGGTGAAGGGCAGGGAGAGGGGTCATTCGAAATCATTTACAAACATATCACAAAGTTTCATTATTTTTGCTTTGCCGACAGCAGCACACAAGAGTACAAAAGTTCACAAATTTCACCCGCCCCAGTGCCTCGGCACTGCGCAGGGCATGCCCCTCAGTTCAGGGCATGGAGAGCGCAGACTCACTCAGGGCCTGGATGGATTTCAGGGGCACAGGGATGCCCAGGCTTGAGTGGGGCTTTTGAACGCCTAACTGTGGGCTGAAGGTGCTCCTTTTTTTTTTTTTATTTTTTCCTGTCTTAATTGCCCTTCCTACTTCCCACATAAATCAAACATTAGCTTCGAGCTTAGGCCTGGGCCTGGTGGGGTGGGGCAGGAATACTACCCCTCCAGGCATGGCACTTTGCACACACCCCCAATCCTTTGGTTCCATCACTTTACCTCTTTCGTAGAGATTTTTTGGGTGCCCATTCTAACAAGGGCTATGAGGCTGCAGAATCTGTTTGTCCCTGAAGATTCCCCCCAGTTTCCCTGAATGCCAAGGACTCCCACGTACCCACCTTCCTGGGACACTGGGCCTAGGCTCTATCCAGACAAATTGGGGGAGGCTGCTGAGCTGGCTGGGGACCAGGGTGAATGTACACATTTTCATATTTGTTAGACGCTGTGACCTGCATTTCACCTTATTGCTCGACTTGTTCAGACAGGTCAAAGCCAACGAGTTATTGATGAACAAAAGCGTTAAATATTCACCTCCCGCTCAACTGCCCATACTAACGCTTTTGATCTCTCGGGCTTTTTGTGCTGTGTTCAGCTACCGGGCAGTGAATGTGGGTTTGCTAGCAAGCAGCTTCCGCAGAGATAAGCACCCAAAGCCAGTGCAGGGGAGGAGAGAAGCAAGACCAGGGGGTCCCCAGGACACCAGATTTTCCAGACTGGGGCCCAGAGCCCTTTTCACTTGGATCAGCCTGGTGTATAGAGGGTAACTGCTCCTCTAGGGGTGTGTACAGCCTACAAACGGTCGACTAGACTGCCCAGCCCAGCGGGGCCAAAAAAACCTGCCCCTGAGCCCAGCCCCAGCTTTTCCAACCATGAAGGAAGGAGGGTACCTGGTTGCTGCAGCCCTCTCATATTCTATCTCCCGTTAAAATAAAATCGCCTCCGTTTTGCAGTGAGAGAGGGGCCACAGTTCTTTTTGTGACTCTCCCGCCAATACCATCCTCTTAATGAGATGGTCCTCCAGGAGGCTTCACAGGCCTAATCAGAAATGTACCTGTCTTTCGCGGCACAGGCAACTCAGAAAGATCCAAACATCCAAGCCAAGGGCCCCAGGAGTCTCTGGCCCCACCCCACCCCGCTCCACCCTCCTATGTCTCTTTGCAGCAACAGCGACTCTGGGGAGGAAATCCTCCAACTGCAGTTACAGAGAAGCAGAGGTGAAAAGAAGGACCGTATCCCTCCTCGTTCAGCCAGTGTCCCAAACCCAGAGCGTGCAAGGCTGCAACTAGATCGGGGGAGGGTTGGGGAAGGGAATGTCCCATAAAGCTCAGAATTCACAGCCCTTCCCAGAAGAGAGCAACTTAACACACCCACGGCCACAGAGGATTGAGTTTTTGTTTTCAGTTAATATTTTTAAAAACAGAAGGTTGGCCAGGCTGGACCGGGCTAAGAACGGTTGGACTGCGGAGGGGATCGCATTGCCTTGGTGTTTATTGCTTTGGTTTGATGCCGCAGGTCGTTAATAGGACAGGCTGCTAACTAGCAAGCTCTTAACAGAAGTGACCGTCTTGGAGGAGCTGCACCTGTGCTAAGCAGGGAACGGCCACGAAGGTCCAGGAAGGCCCAGGGAGATCAGGGCGAGACGCCGCGGCCGGTTCCCTTAGGCAGGTGTCTGTGAACCAGGCCCAAGAAAAGCTTTCCAGGAGCTGGATTTAGCGCCTCCACCTCCCAAGGCGAGCTAACCTCCCAAGGCTAGGCCCGGGGTGGGGGTTGGGGTGGGGTAGGGGAGGCAGGGCCTTTCTTCATCCGCCCACTCCGCAGGCTCGGCCCTAAGCCCACCACTTCCCCGCCATCGGTACCGCCTCTTCGCGATTCGGAAGAAACGGGAAGGTACTTACAGCGGCGCTCTCTCATGGTCCCGAACCTGTTGCAATGAAAACGGGGGTCACTTAAATTTCACAGGATAACAAAGCAGAAACATATGACTCACAGAAAAATGACAAGGCCAAGACACCCCACCAATACTCAGACCTCCCTGCTTCAGGTGCCCGTCCCTGGGAACTGCGGAAAGTTCCCCGCGGAGCTGGAGATCGCAGTCCCTCAAGAGCAGAGAGAAAGATTATGAGAGAATTCGGTCTCCATTGCCTCCCCCACTCCATGCACCCTTGGGCAAAACCTCACTGGTTATTTGGCCCAAGTCAGGCCGCCTGTAACAGGGTTTTCCCAGTGGGAAAACGGGAAGCGAGGAGAAAATGGGCCTTTGTGTGTTTCCTTCTGCGCAATCAGGCTGGGTGGGTGCAGGTCCACTGGGGAGGGGTAGCCGCTCCATCTGCCCCTCACCCCAGCTTCCTATCTCTCTCACCCTGGGAGCAATTCAGCCTTCTTTTCCAGCTTCAGGTTGATTTCAAATTCCTCAGCCCCAACCAGTGTTCCCAAAACCTGTCTTCTCCTCCTCAAAGAAGAATCAGGCATGGCTGGGACTTGCCTTCCCACCTCTACTCCAATTCAAAACAAAGAGCAATTTCCAGGGGGAAATGAGGACCCAAATGATAACCAAGGAGGAAAATCAATGGGTTTAAAGGTAAATGGCAATGCTTTAGATTGTTATCCAGCTCTATGGGTATGACAACAATTTTTCAGAATTGCTGCTGGAAAGCCCAGAAAACAATCTTATAAAGCAATGGTCCTCCCAGAGGCTGGTGTCCAGTTTTAAGTTTTCAGTCTTTCCTAATATTATTATAAGAAAGCAATATCAGAAATCTCAGCGACAAAGCATCTTTACCCTCATCCTCTCTTTCCCCCCCCCCCAGAATAGCATTGTTTTATTCCACTTCTGAAGGAGATGCTCTTATGGGAAGAAGCGGGACAGTAAGTCCCTCTTGTGAGGGGGGAACCCTCAATTCCTAACTGTCCCTATCCAGAAGGGAGGGCATGAGAGATCAAGATGCTCATTCTATTTGTTAATTTAGGTTTAGGCTAAAATTAGAATAAACTTCGATGAGACTTCTCCCCATCCTAAGCAGAAAAGTCAGGAACAGAGAAATCCCACACCTCTGAAGTTGTGGAAAAAGTAGTAAGTGACTTACTGTTTTTCTTTCCTAGTGGGCAGGGGAGCTGAGTAGAACTGTCTCCTTCTTAGCTTGGTGCTGGCTGGAGCCTCTCACGTTCCTATTGCTGCTCCAGGAACACAGCATCTGCACTTGTATGCTCTTAACCTAATTTATGGTGGGAATTATATTTTGGCTTGTCAACTCTCAAGCAATAAAACAAAGTTTATTGGAATCACGTGCTCGTAAATAGCCACTCAGGTCTCATCTCTGCAGAACCATAAATAACCTTTGGCTTTAAACTTTTATTCACTAAATAAAGGTTTGCTGCAACTGTTCCCTCAGATTTAAATAGTTCCAAATATCCAAGATGCAAGGGAGGTCATATTCATATCAATACCCAGGCTTTTCAAATAGCATCTTTTCAGAGAAGCTGTTTAAGTTGGGAGATAGTGCTATTTGGAAAAGGCTGGTTGGTGGGCATGTCTTATGATTCTTTGGCTGCATTCACTGTGAGTACCATCAACCCCTTTATTTCAATAATTTCCTAGCTCTAGATGTGATAAAGGGGAAAGTCAAAAGCCATTTCTTACTTGCTTATACCAGAAGTTGGAAATTTGAGATTTTGTTCAAGTTTCAATAGAGAAAGGTGGTTAGAGAGAGGCTGGGTGGGCTTGGGGGTGGGAGTGGCAGTTGGAATTAACACTTGGCTCCCTCCGTATTGTTGTGGATGAGTTTGAAGAAAATTGAAGGTAGCCACATGCCTAGAGGTTTTTATAATTTCCTTAGATCTGAAAGGGAAGCGTTTGCAAGTGACCAAACTGCTTAAAACATCAAGACTTGGGATTCGGTAAAGTGAGAAAGCGGAGAATAGCCCCTTCAGAATCTTTGGCAACTAAACCTCTAAAGAAGGTTATAAAACAATAAAACAGCCCTGGTGTGAAGGAGACAGGGTGTGAGGAAGCAAATGAGACCCTCAAGGAATCCAAGCCTGGGAAGTCAGATGTCCCCACTCCCACGGTGCCCCCAAGCACAGGGATCAGGGCTCAGGAGCTTTGGGGGCTCAAAACTGGGTGGGATTCTTAGGAGGACTACCCCCATACCCACACTGCTGCCTGCTTCAAGGAGAGAGCCCAAGAGAGGAAGAGGGAGTACACTGCCTCTGTCCTGCTGAGAAAGCCAAGAAAAGGAGCTTGGGCCTGAGGCCGCTCTCTAGGAGAATGTAGCATTCTCTGCTTGGGGGAGGATGAGTGGGGGTAAGAGAGAGAGAAAGATGCCCCCAGCTCCCACCAAGGAGCATAAATAAAAAGAGAATTGACCCCCCAGCACCTTTAAATAGCCCACCAGAGTTGCCACCAAACAGTGTAAAAATGTGTGTTTTTGACTATTCTGATGAAAATAATGGATGTTCTGTGGAGATTTGTAGAGCACACACACACACAATTTCTAAATCAAATTCAGTTGCAACTGTTCCCATCAGAAAGTCCCACTAAGCCCATAAAAAAAAAAAAACCTTCATACAAAGATCTCCTTGCATCCCACTTTCCACCATTCTACATGCACTTCCAAACCCATTTCCTGATTTGACTGTCATTAGCTAGAGAGCAGGGGGCTGTTAGCCTGGATTGTAAGGCATCCATCCATTTCTCTTCTTTTGTTCCACTAGGCATGTAGACATATATTTTTTTTTTTATGGTTGATGGCATCTGTTTTTAAAAATGGATAAACTCTTCAAAACAGTTTCTGATTCTGATTAGCACTAAATGAGCAGCTGTCAAAATATAATAATAATAATAATAGTTTGAGGGGTTGAGAAGAGCTTTCTTTATTTTCCTGTAATCCCAGCACTTTAGGAGGCTGAGGCAGGCAGATCACAAGGTCAGGAGTTCGAGACCAGCCTGACCAACACGATGAAACCCCATCTCTACTAAAAATACAAAAACTAGCTGGGCGTGTTGGTGCGTGCCTGTAATCCCAGCTACTTGAGAGGCTGAGGCAAGAGAACTGCTTGAACTCGGGAGGCGGAGGTTGCAAGTGAGCCGAGATCACACCATGCACTCCAGCCTGGGGGACACAGTGAGACTCTGTCTTAAAAAAAAAAAAAAAAAAAAAAAGAAAGAAAGAAAAAAGAGAAATTAATCACAGTACATATTACTTTCCAGGCAATTGTGATGAGCTTTTTTTGAGAATGGGGTAAGGACAAGATAAGACTGAGGAGAAATGATGTTTGAAACAGTGATGGGTAGCTAGTCAGGACTAGATAGACATTCTTTGAAAGAATGGTGATGAAGCATGTGACTGAGACATGCTTGCAACCTTTACTGTGGCCTACACAAAAAGATAAAATTACATAGCCTATCTGTATATTTAGCTGTGAGTAAGGAAAAGGAGAGATGAAAGGAAGATATTGAGGCAGACATCATTTATGTCTTGATCTTAGGAAAGCAAGACAAAGTGAGTAAAGAGAGGAAGTGTCTACCTTCCCATAATCTTCTCTTGTCTCCTCCTCCCTGTCTTCCTTTTCTCCTCCCCTCCTGGTCTTCTGTAGATGAGAGAGAGTGGATTGGGGAAGAGAAACTGAGTGATGGGAAGAGCAGAGCTAGCATGTGCCCGTTTGTTGGGGAGTTTCCCAAGAACTTGCAATGGAGGTAATGGAAGAGACAGTGGGGAAGGACAAATTGAGTCTTCTTAAAAACCTGGAAGGAATTAATTTTTAGGTAAAGTGGGACTCTGGGTACTGTCCCTCCCCATGTGGCTAAAAAGAGCCTAGAAAGCTCCCATGAGATAGGGCACCTTGTAGGTTCCACTGCCCCCTGGGAGCCAAAGTAGCTCACAGTAAGGAAGAGAGAGAGATGGGGTCCTGGGAGGCAGCAGCTCTACTCCAAAAGTAATGAAAGTCAGCCCTCTACCCACCTTAATGGCCCCTACTAGGTGGCTCCAAGAAAGAATATTTTCATGTTGGCTCTTAAGAGGCCTTTTGCCTGAAGGGGGTGGAGCTTTCCTCTTAAACTAAATGGTTGTACAATAGAAGAGATAAGAGGGGCTTTGAATGTACTTCCTGGCCAGAGAGACAGGTGGAGGAAGGAGCCTGCCCAGGGCTAGTACTTAAGGATATAGTCTGGGCGTGTAGCCAGAGAAGGGCTGAGCAGGGAGTCCGAAGCATGAGAGAAATGTAACTCTATATTCCTGGCACTATACTCTATCACCAAAAGAGAAACACTGTTCTGCCTGCCCACCTCCCCCTGCCCCAATGGAGTCACTCATTGGTGCTCTGGCTTGAGGACCTCTGGGAGGAAGAGGTGACCCCACACGAATAGGCCAATAGTGAGAGATGAGACCAAAACAATTGGGTAGGGGGGTTGGGGCAGGATGTCTGAGAGCAGGGTGGAGGCTAGAAAAGGCTCCAGTGGTCCCAAGAAGAGCAGAAGAGGCTGAGGTGGCCATCTAAGTACTAGGAGAACCAAGATTTGTTGGAACAGGAGAGGGCAGTGGCTAGGGAGCTAAGTGCTGCCCTAGGCTATAGGCAGAATACTGCCTGACAAGGTTGGCAGCAGAAGAAACTGCATGTTTTGAGAGAAAATCTGACCCAGGAGGACTTCCTGGTTAAGCCAAGCAAAGTAGCTTGTCCAAGAGCCACAGAGGCCCTCATGAAAACAGACTGTAGACAGAAGTCATGGCATCGAGAACTATGGATGAGGACTTATCCCTCAAATTTTCCATTGACCCTTCCAATTCTTTGAAATTCTGTACATCTTTTGTGATGCATTATAAAAATACTCTTTCCAGCTACAACCCCCACACATGTTGGGGGCTGAGGCTCAGCTACAGCCCTGGAGTACAGATCCTGGGTCACAAGCGGATGAAGGGGTGAGAAGGGTTGGGGGTGGAGGCGGGGCTCCTCGGCTTCCTTGGCTGCTGTTGGCCTTTTGCTTTCCTAACCTGCCCTAGATTTTAAGAGATTAAGGAGGGTCCTTGCCCTGGGGTTGTGGGAGAACAAGAGGAACAACCAGCCCAGTGGGTGTGACTGACAGGACAGGGTGGTGATGGAGAAGGTGACTGCAAGAGCTGGATCAGTGGGCCTGCTCTCAGGAAAGACCTAAAGCTGTCCGTCTGTGGGAGTCGAAGATGTGCCTGTGTGGGTGTGAGGACTCCCCTCCCTGACACCGGCCCACTGAGGAGCTAGGGCCACTTTCTGCCTGGGTGTAACCCTAAACATTTAGGTGCCAGACACTGAGACCCAGCGGGCCAGAACTATGTGACCCACTACAGCAATAGGTTAGGTCCCAGAACTATGTTCTCCTGAGTCTGCTACTTCCTGTGTGTTCAAACCTGTTTTGTCCTCCATAGAATTCAAGAATTTGGTGAGTGAACCAGGTGTCTTTTGCTCTAAAATCTAGGCCTGATTACTCAGCAAAAGGGGGATTGATAATAAGAAATATATATGTAATGAATACTTGGTATGTGCCAAAACACTGGTTTAAGTACTTAACCAGTGAGTTAAAGTATGTAAAGCAGTTAGTGCCTGACATACAGTAGTGCAAGTAAGTAAAAATTCTCATAGAAACTCTTGAAAGTACTCTTATCCCTCGTTTTCAAAGAAATTAACAGGTGTAGAGAGTTGCAGTACTTGCCTAAGATCACACAACAGGTAAGTGGTACCATGGCAGTCTGAACCCAGAACTGCTGTTGAAACCTCCAACCCAAAAGTAAGGGATCCATGGCTCCTTCCCTAAAATGGGAGAAAGTACTCAGCCCATAGGGTGGTGGCAATAAAAACACAACCCTGGGTGGAACCCTAGGGGCTCTGGGGAATGCCTAGTTGTAGAGGTAGAGGGAACTTGATCTTTGGAGAACAAATAATCATTAAAGGAGTGGGAGAGATAATAGACCAGTGGCTCTCAAACATAAGCTTGCAGCCTAACTGCCCTGTGGGGAGGAGTGCTTACAAAATGCAGGTCTCTGGGTATCATATCTGGATATTCTGATTCAGTAGGTCTGGGATAGGACCGAGAAACTTGCCTTATAAACAAGAGATTTGATGCAGGTCTTCACTGAGAATCATTGCCCTCGAGAAGGGCGGGGGCGGTAGTGAAGCAAAAGACTGCATTGCTAAGAGATAACAGAGGATCAGTGGGATTGGGTCAGAGCATTATTTAAGTAAGGTGTCGCTGGCCCTTGAAGTTGATGCGAGGAACGCCCAGTGGAGCCCACAAAAGGCCTGAAATGAGCGAAGTGGTGGTAGAAGGGTGGGTGGGTGGTGTGAAGTAGACATGCGCATCTGGCTAGTTCTCTCAAGCTGCTGAGCAAATAGGATTTACCCAAGCTCTAAGAGTCTCCAGGGATTCCCAGGACCCAGGCTCCGTTCTAAGTGAGCAAAGGCAAGGCCCATCAGCCTGTTCGAGGTGGCACTAAAGGATGTGCTTTTCATGTCTGTCCATTCTGGGTACCAGGAATCTGGGCCAAGGTAAATGGCAGGAGGGAGGGGCTGGTTGGGATCCGAGGATTGGGCGCAGCTTGCCCCAAACAGGATTCAAGGAGCGCAGCACGAGGAAGTCGCGCCCCCTCTGGGAGGGTGGAGAAAACGAAGGGGCCCGCCAACCCGGAACGGCCCTAGGCTCCCTGGCCTCGGAGCTGCTTCCACTGCCAACCTGGCGAAGGGAACCCCTGGGGCTGGGCGCAGCACTGTCGACCCTTGTTCGAGGCCTCACACACTTTGCGTGCGGAGGTAGAGGGCGGGGGAGAGGGAGGAGCGAGTGGCGAGCCCTCCGCTGCAGCCCTCCCGGCCCGCCGCAGCCGACGAGACGCTTGTCCTACAGCGCCTCCTCCTGGACGAGGCGCTAGACAGCAGAGCAAGGAGACCACCAGCCCCGGAAACCTGAGGCCGGGACTTCGGGCGGGCGGAGGCCTCCCCGCACCAGAGGCTCTTCCTACAATGTCCCCTGGGGCGGCCGGAATGAGCGAGAGGGCCCTGAGGACGCCTCTCATCCCCTACAGCCCACCCCAGCGCAGACAACAACCTCGTGGGCCAGAGGCGCTAGTCCCCGGTTAATTAAGCGAGTCCAGGCGAAAGAAGCCCTTAATTGTTCATTTATTATTTGACTGCTCTGAGCCGAGCTGCTGCCACTATCCTCCTCCCCAGAGCCCTCGAGCGTGCTGTGCTGGCGTAACAGGATCCAGGGATGGTCGAGCTGAAGGACTAGCCTGAAGTTTGGCTGTTTGAGCAGGCGCCAGAAGGAAAGGCCTTTTCCCAAAGCAGTAGCACCAGGCTGAAAAAAAATCTAGACCCTTCCCCGAGGGGCACATATATACTATATGATGTGTGTGTGTGTGTGTGTGTGTGTGTGTGTATAACAACTGGAAAGAAGAGTATTTCCTTTGGCCCCTATCTCGTATTTGCAGCCTGTGTCTAGCATACAGATTTAAATTGGGGTGAGGTGATAAGTCATGATGATTGGAAATGCAGCCAAAGGTCGAACTGTTCAGCTATACAGGGAAGGCTGAGATAAAGGCAAGATGAGTAGCGAGCCTTGACTAGCGAGCCTTGACCGAGGGGGAATGGAAAGATCGGGTGTATCTTCCTGCTCGAGTCCACTCGCCCACTGCCCCCACCCGCGCTTGGCGGATGGCATCTCCGGGCTGGGTCATCTCACTGCACATGCGCTGGATGCCTGGCGCGCGTGTGTACGGAGGGCGCTGTGAGGCCCTGAGTGGTGCGGAAGGCGGGCACCGCGCACCGCTTCTAGGCCTGGATGCAGAGGAGCTTGAGAACCTCATCTCAAAGAAGCAGGAAGCATACTTTTCTTTTTCTGGAAAACCTGTATTAAAAGCCTCAACTGTCCTTTCTGATTTGCAAACCCTATTCCGCCGAACAAGCAGCATCTCCTCGTTGCCAATGAACACTCTAAACGTTGTCATGTGGATCAGAAATGTCACATCTGGGGCACTGCTTCCCCTGAGTCGTTCTTCAAGGCGGGGAAAACCACCCTGCATCCAGAGAGCACAACTTCTCCCTTACTCTGCAAAACTATCAAATCTAAAGGACCAGTCCCTAGAAAGAGGGCATCTGTTCACGCCATTTCAGAAAACATGACCCTAAATTGAATTTCAGTTGGAATTCTGAGTTCTTGGTGGCTTCTCCCCAGCTTCCGGTGCCCCCGCATCCCTACTCCGCTGCCTGGTCGCCGCATTGCGGCAAGGCAAGGCCGTAAATACCTCTAACAGCTGCCTGCCAGCCCAGGGTGAAATACTGTCTTTGTTCGATTTCCCTAGCCTCTCGGGTTCAGAAAACAGAACTCTGGCGAAATGTATTTATTTGTAGAAACATCCGACGGGAAAATACGCTTCGTTTTCAGCCCTCGTGGTTGGCTACATTCATCATTGCGAGCTTCGCTCTTTCTCCTGGTCCTCGAAGAGATCTCAAGCCCAGCTCACGGCCTGACCCGTTGTCACCAAGGCCGGGACATGCTATCGGCTCCCTGATCTATACGAGGACAGAGGTTTGGGCCAAGGACGCTGCGAGTTACACTTCCGGGCTTCTCAGCTCTTAGGGTCCCAGCGTTTTAAAATTTCGTGTTTTTTTGTTTTGTTTTGTTTTTTTGTTAGGTTAACAGAAACAATGGGGTTATTTCCGCCAGAGGCAACAGCACGAACTAGTCTCCTTGCGGACTAATGGCCCAAGTTCCTGTGATTTGCGGATTATTTCCCTTAAATGCAATCGACCATTTCGTTCCAATAAGAATTAATGCTACCACGGGGCTTACAAAGAGCTCTTCAGTCTTCCACATCTGCCCATGACATCAACCTGTGCTGTGTAATCGGACCAGCAGCCAACGCAGGTTTTCAGTTAGCCAAGCGCGCTAGGCTACAGAACCCAGGGAAAAGTAATGAAGCTCTGAACCTAGAGCTTGGCCATCAGGGCCACACCCCCACCCCCCACTTGGGTCCCATCCGACCTAGGGACTCTTCCTGTTCCGGATCTACTCGGCAGGGCCTAGAAACCATGATCCAGGTGCCTGCTTTTCAATGGGAAATATCTTTTTACTCCGATCAAAGAATTATCTCAAAGGCCATTGAACTGTAGTAGAGAAATAGTTACAAAATACAAACAAGCCAAATTAAAAACCAAATCACTCAAGTTTCTTATTTGTAAGTGATCAGAGTTAGTGATCCAGGAGAATTTGCAGGCATCAACTGGCCACAAATCGTGGACCTCCATTTTGAAATGAGCATGATTCCATCATTAATTAGAAAAAAAAAAATCTTTCCACAAAGATGACATTTTTTTTGTTCAGAAACGCTTTTAAGGTCAATGCTGTTACATTGGAATTTTAAGGGAACAATAAGTTAGGATTTACCACTGGGTGCTTTGGGGACCATATCCTTGGCTTCCGCAGGGCAGTCTCATGCGCAATGCGGCAGATTGTCTAAAGGTTTCATTTCACAATGTTCATGAGGGAATAGGCAATAGGATTTGCGAACTGCATCCTCAAGTGCCATTCAAAATCAGTGGGAGAAAATAGTTTTTCCTTCTGCAAAGGATTTTCTTTTATGCATATTGTTTCAGTTCAGTAGTTTTGAAGTCAAGGGAAGGATGTTGCAATGTAATATTTATTGGTAGGCGGGGGGGGGGGGGGAATCTACCAATACATTTAGAAAGCAAAAAGGTCTACTCTTTTCCTACTCTGGCAAGTAAGAAACACACGATGTTTGAACACAGAGATGCCTTGTATTTCTGAAAGATCTATTGGTTTTTTTCCAAGACCTGCACCAGATATTCTGATACCATTACCTCCGAAAACATGCATTCGTTTTGTGATATAAAGTAATTCAAATTAACCTGACAGATTATCATATGTGGGAAGAACCTATCTTGAGTTGTTTAAAAATTTCTCTAAGAGCTAGAGAAAAATTTAAAAATATTTAAAATTCTATCTCATACAACACAAGGCCCAATAAACCATCAACCATAGAAATAAACCAGCATCAGTCACCAAAGCCTAGATTCAAACACCCAGCACATCCTGGGAACACAGAATTTACCCCACCCCCACCCAAGCCCCAACCCTCAAAAAACACCTGTTAGCCTCCCAGGTACTACCGTAAAAACCACAGCTCTAAATAAAATGCCTTTAGTGACCCCCAGCAAAGTGGAGATGTTCAGGAGTAACCCGTCTACACACTTTCTCAGGGTGGGATTGAGGGGCTCTCCATCTAGGCAGTGGGATCCTGTCTGTGGATACCCGTTTCTCAGAATCTCTGGAGGAAATACTATTACCCCCTTAGACTTCTGAACCTAGCTGGATCCCACCCCGGGCCCCAGGGGACGCCCTAACAACGAAGTGATTGGGGGAAGGGGCTTAGACAACGACCCCTAGTTCCCCGGGAAATGTAGGGGAGCAGCTGGACTCCCCGAGCTGCCCAAGGAGGTCGGCGCCCTAGGCTTCTTGGTGGCATGCTGGGGCGCGGGGAGGGGGTGACTCTTACCCGAAGGTTGCCTTGCTGCAGGCGGCGGTCGGTCCGGGCGGCGGCTGTAATCCACCAGGCGCTGCCCCGAGGCGCGCACTCTCGGCAGCAGGGACCCGTTCATGTTGGAGGAGAAGCCGCGTCGGAAGCGCGCGGCTGTAGTCGCCCCGAGCAGGCCAGTTGCTCCCGGCAGGCGGTATCGGCGCCGGCCGGGAGCTCGGCGCCTAAAGCCCCTTCTAGGCCCTCCCTCCCCAGGCTCCCCACCAGCTCCGGAGGTGGTAGCAGTGCAGACCGAGTGAGCGGCGGTGGGGCCAGGGAGCGAGCCGAGGCTGCCGCGGACTCCGCAATCCCACAGCCGGCGACTGGAGCCCACCTCTGCAGAGACAAAGGTTAGAAAAAGAGGGGGTGAGGCTCTGGGACAGCAGAATGCGGGGGGAAATTCGCCTGGGAAATCAGGAAAAAGGCCGTGAAGGCGAGCGGCGCTTGCACATGACCAGCCGCAGCCAATGACGACCGCAAATAGGTCATAAAAAGGTCTATTACCAAGTTGTAAATTTTCTTCAAACAAAAAGGAATTTACTGCAATTCCTTGCGGATTTTGCACATACAGCTCGCAAGCGCCATGTTTTTTCCTCTCTTGCTTTCTCTCTCCCCCTCCTCCTCTCTTCCTTCTTCTCCTCCTCTCTCTCTCTCTCCATTCTCTCTCTCCTTCCTCCCTCCTTTCTTTCTCTGTCCTTCTTCACCTTTCCCTTTTTTCTTCCCTTCATTGCTCTTCTCTCCCTCCCCCACTTCTCTTTCTCTTTTTCTAGGAATGTGTGTGTGTGTGTGTGTGTGTGTGTGTGTGTGCGTGCGCTTTTCTTTGGTTTGGCTCAAAACCTCTGCGCAGTTGGCCATTGTGAAGGAGGGAAAATGAACTCAATGTACTGCTCAAGCTCTGGGGAAGCAATCCCCACAGCAACATACCCCCATTTCTTACCCTGTGCCAGGCACTTGGCTTCTCCTCCCCTCCCTTCAGGAAAAGGCCCGTCCCCAAAGCCAGTCAACCACTTTCGGTTTTCTCCCCTCCCACTCATCCCCTTGCAAGCTAGCCCCAATGATCCTGGGAAGAAAACCCACCCAGTCTCTGCAGGCCAAGAAAGTGTGCCCCCCCACTCCAACGCAAATTGGGGTCCCTCCCATTCCCTGGAGGTTCTGCCATAGGATAATCACCAACCAGCTTAAAGGCTGGAAATGGTTTTAGGTACTTGTCAATCTCACCGAAATATCCTTTTGAAAGCCCACTGCCTGGTCTTTCTCCACAGAAACATCTTTCTGGACAGACAGGGTGGTGGTTTCTGGATTCCTTCTGAAACTCCTTGGTCTACGTCCCCCTCTAAGAACAATTCTCATTGTTATGGAATTTAATTCTAGTTCTTCCCTCTCTCCTTGACCCCAAATGTTTCCCCATTGAAAAATTTGTTCAACGAAATACTGGAAAGGGGTAACATTTGTTCAGGAAGAGTGGCTTCCTCAGATCAGTCTAGAAAAAAAAATTCCTTTTCCTCAATTGCCAGTGTCACATTCCCTTTATATTTTTCACAGGAACTGCTCTGGAGATCTTTCCCTGAAGGTAAATGTCCTTGGCTGGCCTCCAGCATTCCTCTTACGGGCATAGCCATCCAGCCTTCAGAACCTGCCTGAAAGAGGTTCGCCACCCCCCATCCTTTTAAAGACAGTATCTTTGGACTTACAATACTATGTTACAAATATTTGCATTGGATATCTGTGTATAAGTTCTCTGCTATTAACATCTTCACACCCAGTAAGTACCTACGTGTATGTGGACTGAAGCAGGAAGCGGCACAGCACTCTGAAGCAGGCCATTTCTTATCCCTTGAAAAAGTTCTGATGACCTTGGATGTTTTTGATTAAAGGACTTTTGCTGCCATCTGTCAGAAAAACTCATATTCTTTCTAGAAAAAAGTCCAGTGGGCCCTAACTTTGCTGGAGGGAACCGCAGCAGCAACCAGGGTCTATTAAAATGTCCTCTCTCCTTCCGTGTTCAGCCCCAGATGCCCAAGGATTCAGCAAACACCGGGGAAGCAGAGAATACAACAAGCTTGGATGTGAAATAGCCCTACCTTCTGTATTGCAGAAGAAAACAGTATTTTAAATTACACAAGCAGATGGGGCTTGTTGGGCCCTCACAAGCCCAGAAGACTTCACACTGGTATACTGGGGTGTGTGTGTGTGTGTGTGTGTGTGTGTGTAATTAAGCAAAGAACTTGTCCAATTCCAAAATTTTCTGAGAAGTAATCTCAATAGTCAATTTGCCTCATTATCCTCTCCCTATCTTACCCAAATAAAAGCAGAGCTTTACTACTCTCCTTTTCAGCTTGGGGAATGAGGGCCTCGAAGAGACTTTGCACTGAAAAAGCAGCCATATTTGCATTTTCTCCACTTGTGTGGAGGTAAGCGATGTACTGGGCTTTGTGGAACCTCACAAAATGGCATCCTTGAACTGACTTCTCTGAAAACCACTGAGACCCACATGCTCTTTTGTGTGTTTCTGGTTGTTGCAAACCAAGAGCCTAAATCACTCAGAAGGCCTGGTTCTTTCATTCAGCGTTAACATTGGAGAGTACTATCTTTCTCTAAACCATTTACAGACCTCTCCAGGCAGACTGCCGCAGTCCAGGGCTGAAAAGTGCTGCCTGGGATGGCAAAGCATTCTCTGAAGGTTTATGCAAATTTCTGCAGCAAAAAAATGTTCGCTTGTTGCCTCAACGCTCTGATGTTGACACATTTGAGCCAATTAGAAGGGCACCTTGTGCGCAAGTCACTGCCAGTCTGTCTGCATGAAACATCATAATGGGGGTGGAGATATCTAGTCAGTGTAAGAAAGAAGGTGGCGAGTAATTCCCCAAGGTCTTTATTTGAACACAAATCTATGCTCTTTCCTAGCTACAAAAGGAAACATTTACCTACATTTATAATCAACACTCTGGGCATGTGTGTAAGCTATGTATACATCCAAATTTATATTCTAAAATACACCAGCTATTGCAACAGTCTTTGTGCATGAGCTATGAATTTACCACAGTTTAGGGGGCCAGTGGGGCCAGAAGGTACGCTTCCAGACCAGCACAGAATGCTGAAGAAATGACATTTTTACCTACCCTTCCTTCCTTGATTTCCAAACCCATCCATACATTAGGGCTCCCACGTGACAGTCTTGCCCAAATCATCTCAAGATTCTAAAAGCATTTGGTGAGCATCCTTGAGCAGTAGACAGCCAGTTTTGCTAATATACAAAGGAATCCCAAGTCCTTTAAATCCATGGCAGCTAGATTTCAGCCAGCACTTGTCTTTGGATGGTTTACACTGGAGGCTGTTCCCCAGCCTCTTGGCCCTTGGCATCCTTACTCTGTATCAGCCGACAGCAGAGTCTCAAGCAGTGCACAGAGCAAAACATTCTCAAATCCAGCATATGCATTTACAGCTGTCTCTTGGAGTGTAAATGTTTTAAGTCTTGGGCCACCTGTGACTTAAAATTATCTTTCTTGGTTCAGGTCGGACAATGTCACAGCCATCACTTCTTTCCAGCATGGAAAGCCAGGTGGTGCTTTCCCTCTGACCTGGCCAGTGGCAACATTTCTGTGGCCCAGGAAGCTACAGGCAAACAGCCCAAAAAAACCCGATGGGGTTACCCTGGCCCAAAACGATAGTATTCCATTTTCTTACCTATGTAATAAAAGCAACTCTGGAAATAAAAATGTACCTCTTTGAAAACAAACATGGTTAGAGAAGGCAGAGAGCTCTTCGATGACTACCTAATAAAGGTGCTTTCCCTTTTTCGGGAATAAATGTTACTTTACTTGAATTTCTCCTCTATTTTCCCTGCTCCTCTTCCCTGCCCCCACTTTCCCCTGTAAAATGGCAGCTGCAGGAGCAGCCTCCAATGGAAAACGGATATCTTGTTAATAACAGATGCCAAAACCCAGCATCAACACTGGCTCAGTGGAATAAGCTGTGGTGTAACCTGGACTCTGGGTCGTCTCCCACTGGGCCTACAACTTGAGTCCTTTAAGAGGTTCAAAGCTCTTAAGAGTATCTTAGCAAGATTATTTAGAGCAAGATAGACTAGCCAGCCCCCTCAGGAAAGAGAAGGGGCCCCTGCTGCATTTTTTTTTTTTTTTTTTAACAGCTCGAGATGTGTGTAACTCCACCCCTTTCTTATTAAACAGAAGCCTAGTGACTCAGGGAAAACGGGTATTTGCGGCGCTCAAAGACACTAACTCTAGATAAAGACATTCATTTCTTTATTAAGGAGCTAGAGACATTCTGGAGTGGTTTACACTCAGATTTTTCTGCGTTTCCTCTCAGGGCTTGTTTCAAATAGGTGAGGCTATTGCTTTTTTGAAGAACAGCAGAGGGTGTACCAACCGACATCTCACACAGTAAGCTGGTTTAAAACTAGCAGGCGAACAGAGCAAAGGCAATACAAATAAATACGGCATCTACTGAAAAAAAAAAAAAAAACGGAACACAGCAGCAGCCACGGCATACAGAGCTAGAGATTTCGGGCGATTACAAGGGCGGTTCAAAACGAAAGCAAGTTAAGAAATGAGATGCATTCTACAAGGCGACTTGCCAGAGTGAAAAGTTAATGAGTAAAAATGTCATAATTAATTTTTCAAGTATTTATTCACTCTAGATTATTTAATTTGTATGGACTACAGAAAAATAATTGTCAACTTTGACATTGTCTTGAAACTCTTGTCACTGGCCCAGTCTTTTCCTGAAGTTTAAGGAAGCTGCAGAGCTGGACTACACGTCACTCTTCAGCTAACGTGTGCTTTCAAATATTTGGCCCAGCCTTTTCCCCGAGATATTATATTTAGAAAATACACAAAGAAACTACTTAGGAGTAAACAAAAGGCACCCGAACCATTCATTATAAAAAAAGAAGAAAAAAAAATCCATAAATAATACTTTGTAATCAAATAATATAAAGTAAATATTCTGCAGACATAATTTTTAAAAAAAATTTATAGACTCCTTTTAATTTACTCACCATAAAGATTAAATGTTCAAGTGCACTTGTTTAATAAAGCATTTTATATTCAATTATTAAATGCTAATCATTAGGAAGTTTACGTTGTTCAGGAAAATCACCAGCTCAGACATTAAAAACCATTATAAAAATATAGCTACAAGGTCAGTATCAAATTACCCTTCCATAGGGCAGCTCAAGGACTGCTTCTATGTGATACCAGAAACTTTTTAAAACACCCAAATCCCTCTCAAAGCGCAGAAACCTCAAGAGCAATGATATGAAGGTAGCTTGAAACACAGGTAAAATCTTTTTCAACAAAGAAAACAGGTGGTGTCCACAGCATATGGTTATCATTAGTTTTAATAGTCTGTGGTAAAATTTTAAAGGTAGAAGTTAATTTGTCGGGCCTTCAGCTATGTCTTCCTCCAGCTCTTGGGCTTCCTTTTTGGTTTCCCCGTCCTTCACCTCCTGCCGGGAAACGGGAAATTTATCCTTGTTGTTTTCCTTTTTCCATTTCATTCTCCTGTTCTGGAACCAGATTTTTACCTGTCTCTCCGTGAGGGCTAGGGCGTGGGAAACCTCGATTCTTCTTTTCCTGGTCAGATAGGGGTTAAAAAGAAATTCCTTTTCCAACTCTAGAGTTTGGAAGCGACTGTAGGTTTGTCTTCCTCTTCGTCTACCAGGAGCTGCTGATTAAAACAAAAAACAGGGGAAATAAACGTTTTAAAAATGTAATGGTGCCTCTGCATGTTGCTGAAGGTTTGTGGAACGAGGGGTCTACAGGCTCCGATATATATAGAGTGTGCAAGCAAGAGGGGCAGAGAGAAGGTCTTCACAATTATTCTGTCCCCATCATCTTTACATGGTTTCTACTATTTTTTTTTTTAAAGTCTGTATTACTTTATGAATAAGAGCCACTGTGGCTACAGAAGAAGGAAAAGGAGGGGGAGAGGGAGAGGGACGGGGAGTTTTAAAGCCCGAACGTGAGATGAAAGCAGATTTCTTCCCCTCTCCCCTCTTAAAAAAAAAAAAAAAATTGCATCCCAACCTTGTGGTCTCATCCAGGGAAACATTTGAGAAGGAGACGAACTCTGATTTAAGTGGTCTGGGTCCTCGCCAATATTACCACTGGACGATTTACAGTCAGGATATTGTACCAGCTCGGCCTCTTGCTGGGTCGTAAAAATCGGCTGTCTCTGTAAGTTATCGTATCCGTAAAACTTCGCGGGCTCCCCGTGACAAGCAATCCCGCCGCAGGGGGGAGGCGGCGGCGGAGGCAGAGGATGCGGAGGAGGAGGGGGGGCGGCCTTGTAGGCAGCGGCCGGGCTGCCCCCGCCGGGATGGAAGTAGTCCTGGCCCGGGCCGCCCCCACCGCCGCACCCCGGTCCGGAGGGCGGCGGGGACGGGTGCGGGTGCGCGTGCGCCTGCGGGTGCGCGTGCGGGAAGCCGGCGGCGCTGTTGCCATAGAGCTGCAGGGCTGCTGCGGCAGCGGCGTGACGGCCGCCGACCTCGGGCGCGAAGTGACAGTCGTAGTAAGTGGGATTGATGGCCTCGCCCGCCGCCGCCGCCGCCGCCGCCTTGTACTTGGAGTACAGCGGGTTCACGAAGTACGAACTCATTGGGGCGGCGGCGGCGGCGGCGGCGGCGGCCCTGGCGGTGCTAAGCAGGCAGGGAGCGGCGCCTCTGCTCGGCCGCACTGCCGCGGGGGCCTCTGGGGCGGCTGCTCTGGCCGCCTGGGCCGCCGGGCTACCTCGGTGCTGCCGCCCGCGCGCCCGCGTCGCTTCTGAGGCCGGGCAGCCGCGGGCGCTCAGCTACTGGACGCTCATGCCCGGCTCCTGCGCCCGCCGCCTCGGCCTCGCGCCGCCTCCCTCGCGGGTCGCGGGGCCTAGCCCAGCCCCCGTGCGCCGCCGCCCTCCCGGCCTTTCTCGGCGCGCCTGGGCTCGGCCGCAATATAATCGCCGACGCCCCGGGCGACCAGCCCCGCTGCCTCCACTGTTTCCTCTCAGGCACCAGGAGGGCCTGAGCGCACCGGGACAAGAAAAAAAGTGCGCCGGCCCACGGGGACACTCTGGCCTCGTTTTACAAACCTCCGCTCTGGAGGGAAAAGAAAAAAAAACCCTCTGCCCGCCGCCACCTCTCACCGTGTCCCCCCCGCGCCCTCCGCCCGCCGCTCTCGCCCCCGCCGCCGAGGCTGCCGCCCCGGTGCGCACGGGCGAGGCATTTTCGCAGTACAGCGCTGTACGGAGAAGTAGCGTGCCGGGGGCAAGGAGCCCCGCGGAGGGATCCACTCGCACTTCAGTCGCTGCGCCCAACGGACGGAGCGCCGCGCCCGGCCCGAGATGCCTCCGCCGGCCTTAAAGGGGGCCCATAAAGCTGCACTGCCAAGGGCTCCTTGTGCCCCCGCGGCCGCGGGAACGCGGGCCGCAGCCTGCAGGGAGGGGGCGCGGCGGAGCCTTAGACTTGGGGGAGGCAAGAAGGCCACTCCCAGGAGGCTGCGGAGCAAATGATTCCCTCCCCGAGCTCATAGGGCAGCCCAGCAGAGGTTGCCCGTGGCTTTTGCAGCTCTGGACACGTGGGCACAGCCCAGGGAACGTGGACAAGAGGTGTGACGGACCGGACCGTGCATTTGAGTAGGGGCATATCGAAGTGGTTGGATTAAAAGCCGCTAGTGTGCCCCCAGATCCTGGCGTTATCAAATCAAATCAAAACCCTTCTTTTCCAGCCGAGTGGGCTGTGGAAATCAGATGTACATTTACCCTTGACGCACCGCATGCCTGGCCGAGGCTCCCAGGTTAATTGATATTTAATGGAAATCATGCCCATGAATATAGTTTCCATCATTTCACCCTTGATAGACGTCAGCACTGGGCGCAGAGGGAGGCTGAAGAATGCAGGAGGGGGGCATTAGCCTTGCTGAGACAGTGAATAGAAGAGCGGATAAAACGTTGTGAGGCGGGAAAAGGGGCTCACGCTGGGGAGGGTGACATTTCCTCGGGCAGGAGGCGGTTCCCGGGT